AGTCCGTGATCAAGCCTGATGAAGCTGGAGGCGCGGCCGCGCGTGGAGGTGGAAAGTTATTTTAGCACTGAATAGAATATTTTTAAAATTAAACTGTTTGAAATACAGATGCAGAGCACGATGTCAGCGACGCAGGGCCAGGTGGGGAGGGCCAGTACGAGAAGGGAAGGGAAATTGCTGCTAAACGGGACCCGGTGCCGGCACTCGCCGCCTGCTGTGCCCAGGGAGCCGGCCCGGAGCCTGATTTCCCGGGAAGTTCGGTCAGCGCGCTGTCCCGGTTCCCCACACTTTCCTCCCTGCCGTGGCCGGCGCTGTCCGGAGTGGGCGGGGGACGAGCCCGAGTCGAGGCGGCAACTGCGCTCGGCAGGGTCGGCTCGGGGCGGGTGCTAGGGAAGAGGAGCCCGGGGCGGTCCCTGCGCCCTGTGCAGCAGTTCCGACTGCGGCCCCGACCCCGGGCTCTGCCCGCTCTACAGCCGCCACCGCCCACTCAGGGGGCTCTGCTCGCGGCGCGGGGCTTCTCGCCGTCGGGAACCGCGGGGGCCGGGAGAATTCTGCCGCGGCTGCGGGAACTGGGGATGTGCTTTGGACGTGACTTCAGGGCAGTGCCAGAGCGCCCGAGCACCTCCCATCGTTAACCTGCGGCCTTCCTCACCAGCCCGCTCAGACGTGACTGCCCGTGCAATAAATTGTTTTCATTTTCCAACGTTTCCTTTTCCCCAAGTTTTTTTGGTCCCGATACCTTCTGTGTGCCGATGCCTTGTGTTTGCACGTCCAGTGAAGGCTGGTGGAGCTGGGGAATAGTCTGGGCTATGTTTGATAAGGAGTGAGTGAGGAACTGAGAGGGACTCAGTATAGAGAAAAGGAGGCTCAAGGGGGAACTTTTTGCTCTGCACAACTCCTTGACAGGAGGCTGTGGCAAGGTGAGGGTCAGGCTCTGCTCCCACAAAACAAGGAGCAGCATGAGGGGAAACAGGCTCAAGTTGTCTCAGGGGAGTTTTAGGCCAAACGTTGGTGAAAAGTTTCTTCAGGTAAAGGGTTGTCCAGCTCCGGCACAAGCTGCCCAGGCTAGTGGTGGAATCACCATCTGTGGAGGGATTTAACTGATGTGTAGATGTGGCACATCTACATGGGGCCATGGGTTAGTAGTGGACTTGGCAGTGCTATGGGAACAGTTGGAGTGGATGGTCTCAGAGGGCTTTCCTAACCTTTACAATTCTGTGATAACCGTGAAGGGCTTTTAATCATGTATCCTTTCAGGATCGGGATGGCCAGCCAGGAGGGGCAGCTGCTGATTTGAACACAAACTATCCTGATGTGGTGGTAGTTACTGAGAAAATACTTTTAGGAAAGAGTTCCAGAAAGAAGTCTAGCAATCAGAAAACAGAACATAAGGTCTTTTCCATAGCAGTGTGTGCATTGCTGAATTCAGGAAGAGTGAGAATGGAGAGTGAAGACAGGAATTACTTCTTCCAGGAGCATGGCATTTGCGAGGACATAGAGATGAGCCTCAAGGATTGCATTGGCAGAAGCAAGGTCTCTGAATACTTTGCATGGATGCAACAGAGGAGTAACCTGCTGCTCTTTATTAAAACGGAGCTGTGGCGGCCCAGAGCCAGGAAGTGCAGCCACAAAGTTGCACCTCTGCAGCTTGACCACTGGTTTGTTTTATAGGTCTGGCACTTGGTTTACCCTGTGACCTCCAGAGAAACTCCTGAACTCCTGAGGAAGAAAAACTGTGCCAAGTGCCACAATGAGAATGGACTCCAGCGGCAGAAGCCCGCTCCTGGCCACAGGATTCTGGACACGAATGACGGCCCATTTCCAAGGGAAAGAAAACTCACTCTGCCAGGTTACTGATGTCAGTGTGTCAGAGACGTTTGGCACTCCATGTGCAGCCCGATTTCTTGGTGGGGGCGGCTTGGGTCGGGGAGAAATCCTGCTCCGTTCGTAATTTTTGGAGGCAGAAGGGGCTGAGCTCGGCAGCAGTGCTGCCGCCTTGTGGGCACAGAGCGGTACTGCCGCTGTACCCCGAGCCGAGCCGGGACCCCGCAGGAGCCGAGTCGGGCTTCTGCCACACTGAAGATGGCGGCCGCAACAAGACCCCGGCCCCAACAGGACCCTGGCCGCAGCGTCCGCTCTTTGTCTCTGAACCCCTCTGTCCTTGCTGTGTGTTCTGCACTCTTTCTGTGTCCTTCTCCATACCTCACTCACGTGCCTTTTTTTATTCCGTCTGGCTCTTTGCTGCTCCCTGTGCCGTTGTTTCCCACTGGATCCTTGTGCCCCTTCCCTGTGTTCTTTTTCAATCCCTCTCTGTCTTGCTGCCCATCCCAGGTTTTTGGTTTTGTTTTTGTGTTTTGTGTTTTGGTTTTTTTTTTTTTTAAAGGTTTGTTTTGTTTTGTTTTTCTATTTCATCCTACACCGGCCATGCGCACCCTGCCGTGCCGTGCTTCCTGTGTCCTCTTTGCCACCACTCCCTCTTTCTGCCTCTGGCCTGTGCCTGGGGTTTCGGGGAGGGATTTCTGGGACCTGTCCCCCTTTCTTTTTGCAGCAGAGCTCCTTATTGGGAGGGGGTCTATACCTGGACAGAGTTCCAATAAAGCAAGGTGCTGCTGTCCAGGGCAGTTGGAGTTGTTCTCTGCCTTCTTTGGGGGGTGAGGAGCAAAGGCTGAGGGGGACGGGGTGGAGACTGGGGGGCTCCCGTGTCCCTTGGGGCACGCCGAGGTCCCCGCCAGAGGGAGGCACACACTGCGCTGGAGGAGCAAGGTGAGCGGGGAATGGGGAGGGCTCGTGCTGGGTACCCTTCCCCAGAGGGGACCCCGAGCTGCCAGGAAATTCCCTGGGAGGGCTGGGTGCAGAAACCAAAAGCCTGTGGAGTTGTTCTGGTTTTTACGGTAGGTATTGGCAAGGGACAAGAATTGATCTTTGGAATATGATTTTTGGCCCATAGTTTATGAATTGTGTAAGCCATTATATAATCAAGTATATAATTGAGATGTGTCTAGTAGATGTATTACGGTTATATTGTGTGTGTGTATATGTGATGATTTCATTATTGTTATAAATGCAACGGCAAAATATGATTAATATAGACAGCGATTTATTATAAAACAATTTCAATCACAAACGGGAGAAAAAAACCACAATAAAATAGATCAGCGCAGCGCTGGGTGGACAGGGGTCTATACCCAGAGGTACAGATTTACCCAAATCCACACGAAGGGTAGAATGTCCAGGGTTTTTATAGGGGTTTTGTGCCCTGAGGCCAAAACTCCGAGCAGTCACTGTTCAACAAAGCGTCTTGATAGTCAGTTGAATGGATTTCCTGGAACCGGCAAACTGAATCAATAGACAGTGGGGCAGAGTCTCCTCATATGTAAAAAGGTCTTGGGTGTTCCTTGATTTCATCTTGGTTTGGGCCATCAGGACGGAGCGGTTGGCTCCGGTGTTGGAGCCGAAGAATATCTCGGCTGGGCTTTTTCTTTGTCCAGCCTGATGGCCCGTGTCCTGCTTATTCTTTTAGGTTGATGGGCACCGGCTAGGATCGTTATCCCGGTGCCGGCTAGAATTGTTATCTCTAAAATGGATGTTTGCGGCTGGACCTAGGGAGGAATCTTTGGCCACACTATATTTTATATTCTCTTACTATATTAGTTATTATAACTACAGATATATTTATTTAGGTCTTTACGAATTTTTATTCATAACTATATTTATTACATTATCATACCATTTCACTGAACAGTGAAGTTCATTGGAGTGAAATCTGATTACCTGCATTTTAAAAACTCACCCCCCCCAACTATTTTTGATTTTTTTTCACAGGTATTTTATAGGCATATTTCAACATTTTCCTTCCTAATCCACGAGTAAAGGGAGATGTTGGGATTTGATCCAAAAGATCTTACAACCAATTTTGTGGTGAAACAGAGAAAAACCGTGAGCAGCCAACTCACTGGAAAACTGTATGTTAAACGCAGAGAAGCACAAAGTGTTTGATGCTGTTAGAGTTCAAAATAACAAGGAAAAATGATGGGGAATTTACCTGCCTTGGAACAAAGTATGACCCCATCCCATACTCTCAGCTCCCGCTCCCCTTCCAGCGTGGCTGTGACCCGGGCTGGCCGTACCGCTCGGTGTCTCTGGACCTCACAGCATATCTACGTGGCTGCTGCACCCGGGTCCCCAGTACGTCCTGCTCTGGCCGCCTTCCCCGAGCGGTCCCATGTGCACCAAGCGGGTACTACAGACCACAGGGGCCTCTTGGCTGCAGAGCTGGGTGATGGGAGACAACAAAGCAATGCCCAGGATGCAGCTGTTCAAGCCAGCCTCGCCTCACGGAGCATTTCTTTCTCACCTGTCCATGGTTCTCTCTGTGTGTCTGTGCTCCTTTTTAAACTGCAGGGCTGGGAGGCCTGGCCATTCCACCGGGACTGCTCACCCTGGGAGCACCAGTCTCTACCTTGGGATTAAGCAAGCTGCCACCAGAATAAAAGCAGGGTGGAGCTGCTCCCACTCCAAGGCAAGAGCCTGCAAGGCCCATCCTTTGGGGACTCGTCTTTTGTGTGAAGGCACATTGTCTAGCAGAGGAAGAGGTTGGTACCTGGTGGAGCAGGGCCAAGATTCCATTTTCCCCAGGCAGCTCCCCCTGCATGCTGTAGCGCTGGCCAGGACTGGGAGAGGAGGGGGAGTGTGTTCAGCACTGCTGCTGGAATGGAGTGGCCCTCTCAGGAGGATCCCGGTTGCTTCAGGGCCTTGCTTTTCTACTGGTTTGTGTCCACAAAGGAAAGGCATGCAGAAGGCAGCACCATCACCTGGTGATCCCTGCAGTCAGGAGTCCATCAGCTTTCCCCACAGTGAAAACAGTTAAGGTCTCCTTAACCAAAGGAAAACTCAGCACCACTACAGATGTACAGAACAGCAATTTATCCACTGGGGCCCTCCAACACACTTTGCCCATTATGTGTCCAGAGGACTCCAAGTACTGACTTTACACATCCACAAGCGTGGCCAAAGCCACACATACAGAGCAACACCAAGTTCTCACAGTGTACCAAGAGAAACAAAGATGTAATAACATTATTTCTTAGACAACTGTTGGGGATGAAGTCAAATGTAAAGAAAAAATGGAAATGTAAAAAATGATGGACGTTAGTGCACATGGATACAGAGTTTCTGCTTTTGAGCACCGCAGATGCCTGGGGAGGGAGTGAGCAGGGCACTGTCTGTAAATAGCAGGGAGGGGTGAAAGAGAGTTAAGTGTGTAAAGTGACACGGCCGGGCTTGAGCGGGGACACGGCGTTAAGGAAATAATTCCTTTTTTTGTCACTGCTGCACTGAATTTCATAGGCATGTGACTAGATGCCTAATATATTTAAAGCAGGTTTTATTCTCACAGGTGTTTTGCACACTGAAGTGTGTGCCCAGTTTTTGTTTCCACACGTGAGATATAGTGCTGGGTGTTTAATTTGGTATGTTACTTGTTCTGTTGCGTAAATAACTGCAGTGTCCTCCCTGTGCCTGTGTATTGCAGGGGCAGGCGAGCGCTGGTTATAAAGGTGGTGATAATTAGGAATAACCTATTAAAAGGTTCGAAATCATTGCTTAGAGTACTGCATAATGTACCAGAAGTAACTACATCGTGGAAGTGCTGTGTGTCTGAAACTGTTTCCACCTACTCATTTTTAGCTCCTTTTTCTGACTCTGCTCCTATTCCGACAGACCCGTCCGAGCCTGGCGTTCGCTAAACGCCTCTGCGTGGTGGGAGACGAGTCTAGGAAGAAATATCTTCAATCCACCGGTGAGGCAGCCAGGACTCAGTACAAGGAGGACTGGACACAGATGAAGGTAAAGTCCTTAACAGTCTATTTCTTCCCCATAACAAATAATTCATTAGTGTATTCCTGGCTGTGCGCTGCAAGGTACGTTGGAAGTTACACGTGAGCGACGCTTCCGCTCGTGGCGAGGCGAACACACGCGTTCCTCGTGCACCTTCTTCCTGCCTGACACGAGCTAACAGAGTCTGCCGAGGTGTGCCTGACCGGCTGTGAGTGACAGATCTTTGTTGCCCTCATTTCAGTGAAGGAAACTCAAATTTCTTCTTGTATTTAGCACCACACGTGGGTGTAAAGTTCAGCTGCCACGTGCCAGTTGAGGATTGATTTGGTCAAGGAGAAGAATTTTTGCCTAGAAAGATTTGGCACTCCAGTTTCTGTTGCATGGCACAGGCCACCCAAGATCTAAACGTTGCAATAAGTGTCTTGAGCTACTTCCAATCTGTTCTTAAAAATGTCTGTCTGCAACTGGAGCGATTCTGTGCCTTATCCGGAGATGGTGCATTCTGGCTTTTCAGCGTGAACAGTGACGCTCCCAAGTTTTAAAGTGTCAATCTTTCTCTCGTAGGTTAAGATGGGCACAGCTCGAGGTGGCCCATAGCCTGGGGTTCATCTCAGAAGGAGGGACTTCATTTGGTCACAGAGAAGACGTGGCTTCCCTGCAAGGAGCAGGAAAGATAATCCACAGCCTCTCGGGGAGGCTTAAACTTGAGTAAGTTTCTGTAGCCACCGATGCTGTCAAGGAAGGTAGGCAGATTGCAGTCACCTGAGGACTGGCAACTTTTCACAATGAGCACAGCAAGTGCCGCTGGTAACTTTTCTCTAAAAAATCCTTTTTCTGTTTCTCTGTTTCTGCTGCATCTCTTCTGTATTTTTGTTTTTATTCTTGGATCTCTCAGCCTCCTTTGGATTGGATTCCTTTGGGATCCTCCCTCATGGGGAGCCCTGCTTATCTCAGTTCCTATGATTTGAAGAAAACTCCCAAGCTCGTTAGAATCTTGTTTCTCGTGTTTATTAAAAGGTCATCACAGAACTTGACAGGTCTCTCCAGGCTGGCTGCACAAGGTTAATCTTTGCAATCTGGTACATTTATTTCTTCTGACGGTACAAACAAGGCCTTGTGGCACACTTTCTCTGATGCACAGAATGGCCCCGAATGACGCAGTTCTTTAATCTTTATACCTATTTTTACCCAATTAACAATAGACACATTATTATTTTTCTTAATGACCCATCCCCTCTGTGATGCACTACGGCATTCTCTATCCAATCACTTACTACTACCCAAAAACCTCCAGGAGAAGAACATGAAGAAGAAAGAAGGGACAAGAGACAACACTGTAAATCCTCCATCTTGTCTCCTGTTCTCTAAACTAACTTTTTCACCCAGTGATTTAAAAAAACTTTCTAACCTACACACTTACACTTTTAGCTTTTTCTATCTAACTTTAATGTTTGTTTTCATGTATCACCATGAAAACATGCTCATGAATTTCATATAATATGAAATTCAGTGTTTTTCTCGATCTTATAACTAAGCATCAGAAACAAGGGCACGCACTCTGTATTCCAGACTCCAACATTTGTCCCTCTATTTGAAAAAAAAAAATAAAAATATCAGCCCAAACCTTTTCTTTGATTAATTTTCACGAAGGGTTATTTCTCCTTCACTCATGCCCTACGCACCAACAACAGAACTGCTGCTCTGCTCTACAGAGCACTCTGCCTCCAGTTTTGAACATCAGTTAACTAACCACTCAAAGCTAGAGAAATAGATCTAGGTTGCTTACTTGATCAGTAGCTTAATTTGTCTAATTGCTTTAAAGTTTCTGCTGAAGCTACTTGAATTGAAAGCTGAGTTGTTATAAATCTCTATCTGAAATTTCATGAGTCAAACTCTTCACAATCAGGTGTGACTAAGATTGATATAAGGTTACACTAAGATGTTGCCTCTTTATATAGAGCATGATAAATAAAAAGAAAAATTGAATATTATACAAAAAACTATTTTCACTGAGATAAGGTATACTTTCTTTTGAGTTAACTAAAAGAAGTGATGCAGGTGACATCACATCACAAAGTGATCAACAAAATGATACAGCTCAAGGGTGATACTGATTCACCTTCATATTCCAGGACTTCATCTCTCATGCATGATTCCGAATCGTGACACAGTTCACATCATGCTTTATTTAACAAGTGAGGTTTTACAATATCAATTTTCCCACTCTTTCACGTGAGTGAAATTTAACTAATTTCTAAAACAAGGTTCTCAAGAGTAGCAGCTATGAGATGCTTACAGCACAGCAAACTGTTGAAATGCATTTGTACAAAGCAAATGATCAGAAGCCGTAGGTACCAGACTAATTAAATCACTCAGCAGTTGGTTTAATCTGAAGCCTCTCCCATGGCAGCTGACCATAGGCCAGCCAGCCTGTGCAGCAGGGCAGAGCAGCTCCGAACCAAATACACCCAGACACCCGTGACACACAAGACAACAGACAAGGGGACACAACAGGGAGACAAAACTCCGGGCCAGAAGAGTGGCCGCAAGGACCGAGAGAATGCGGAACAAGATGACCCAGGTGAGAATGATGGCAAGCTGATAAGGCTGAGACAACCCTGAAGAAAGAAGATGCTGACACGATGACTTATCCCGAGAAGCGCAAATACGGATGCCCGAGAATCCTACGGCCACAATTCTCTACCTGTCCTTGCATTCGGACAAGTCCTAGCCCGCTACAATGGATCCTTGCGGCGCACGGCTGTGGACACAGCTCAGAACAAGACCTCAAAAGACACCCGATCGGACGCTTAAAAACAGAGATGGGATTCCAAGGCCTCTGAGAGGTCCCGAGGCACAGCTCTGACAGTGTCAGCGCCAGGACGAGGAACCCAGAGATCAGAGATGTTAAGAGTGACGCCAGGGTTTCCTGTAACCTCCTGGAAGGGCTGAGGCAAGACACATACAACACGAGGTGCACAAAAGGCACGACAGACAAGTGACCCGACACATCCCCGGACCGCTCTGCCCTGTGCACCTCAGCATTGGGAGCCAAAGTGAGGCTTTCCCTTGAGGTGGCCTAAAGGGCCACTTCTTGAACCTCGCTACGTCCAAAGCAGACTCAAAACTTCCTGGCCACGAGTCCCAGCCCGGCACCCCGCTTCCATCCCCCCTCTGCGGATCGTAGCCTTTGAGTTAGCTCTCGGACGTCCGGGGGGTGAGAGTCCCCAAGGGCTGCCAAGGAATGCCGCCTCGCCGTCTGCCGAGTTCCTGCCATCGCCATGCTGTTGCCTCCTTGTCAGCTACAATAAAGAAAACCAAATATCAATGTGAGATCTTCTCAGCACATCTATGAAAACGCAGCACTCACCGTCTCCTGG